GATGACGTAATTTTATAATTACTCAACCGCGCGAAATATACCGAAGAATGATTGACAGAAAGGCCCTAAGCATGCACATTTTCATGTCAAAGAAGAACCAGCCTTGGACTTTGAATTATGTAAACACAACAGCCCACCATGCAAGGTTATCGTCCAATTTTGACAAATTGACAAATTATTTATCTTGCCTAATGGACAGATAATTGACATTTTTACACAAGTCCGAAATGATATATACTTTATCTAAGTTTTACAGCAAAATTGCTCACACAGCAAAATTGCTTACGTCCATTGGACGTAACTAGTATCTATAATTACCTGGGGTGCAAATTGAACTATTTTTATACTATTTAGATATACTTTCGTAACACTATGATTAATTGATTATGCTTTCCCCGACGTTTAAACGATTGTTCCCTGTTGGTGATACGGGTTGAAATGTGTTGGTTATTGTACATTGTGTCCGATGACATATGTGGAATATGTCGCTGCTCAATCGGATGATTTTGAGCTGTCTTTACTATTTACCATGATAGAGACTTCATGCATCGTTGCCTTATCATTTAGACATCCTTCAGGGTTATTAACCAAACTTTGACAATGATTACCATATTTGTGCATTTGTTTTGTTTTGTTTTATCCCTTGATTAATGGGATCTAGACTTCGGTGATCCCATTGTTGACTGTTCCAATTACCCATATCATTACGATTTTTTGTGTGTGTTTTGATGTTATGTACTCAGGTGAATATAATGTTTTTGATGTTACTCTGAGTGTATATCCACACCGGGCAGGCTGAAAAGTTAGCCTGACCACGGTGGGAATCGAACCCGCGACCTTTGGGATACTAGTCCAATGCTCTGCCAACTGAGCTACGAGGCCAAGTCTGTTCGAGTGTGTCAGGTATTTCGGAACTAAGTCTAGTACCTTCGATACCAATGTGTTCTATGATCATGATATTTTTTGTGTGTGTTTTGATGTTATGTACTCAGGTGAATATAATGTTTTTGATGTTACTCTGAGTGTATATCCACACCGGACAGGCTGAAAAGTTAGCCTGACCACGGTGGGAATCGAACCCGCGACCTTTGGGATACTAGTCCAATGCTCTGCCAACTGAGCTACGAGGCCAAGTTTTGTTCGATTGTGTGGTATTTCGGAACTAAGTCTAGTACCTTCGATACCAATGTGTTCTATGATCATGATATTTTTGTGCATGTGTGTTTTGATGTTATGTACTCAGGTGAATATAATGTTTTTGATGTTACTCTGAGTGTATATCCACACCGGGTAGGCTGAAAAGTTAGCCTGACCACGGTGGGAATCGAACCCGCGACCTTTGGGATACAAGTCAATGCTCTGCCAACTGAGCTACGAGGCCAAGTCTGTTCGAGTGTGTCAGGTATTTCGGAACTAAGTCTAGTACCTTCCATACCAATGTATTCTATGATCATGATATTTTTTGTGTGTGTTTTGATGTTATGTACTCAGGTGAATATAATGTTTTTGATGTTACTCTGAGTGTATATCCACACCGGACAGGCTGAATAAGTTAGCCTGACCACGGTGGGAATCGAACCCGCGACCTTTGGGATACTAGTCAATGCTCTGCCAACTGAGCTACGAGGCCAAGTCTGTTCGAGTGTGTGAGGTATTTCGGAACTAAGTCTAGTACCTTCGATACCAATGCATATGTGTTCTATGATCATGATATTTTTGTGTGTGTTTTGATGTTATGTACTCAGGTGAATATAATGTTTTTGATGTTACTCTGAGTGTATATCCACACCGGGTAGGCTGAAAAGTTAGCCTGACCACGGTGGGTATCGAACCCGCGACCTTTGGGATACTAGTCCAATGCTCCGCCAACTGAGCTACGAGGCCAAGTCTGTTCGAGTGTGTCAGGTATTTCGGAACTAAGTCTAGTACCTTCGATACCAATGTGTTCTATGATCATGATATTTTTTGTGCATGTGTGTTTTGATGTTATGTACTCAGGTGAATATAATGTTTTTGATGTTACTCTGAGTGTATATCCACACCGGGCAGGCTGAAAAGTTAGCTTGACCACGGTGGGAATCGAACCCGCGACCTTTGAGATACTAGTCCAATGCTCTGCCAACTGAGCTACGAGGCAAAGTTTTGTTCGAGTGTGTGGTATTTCGGAACTAAGTCTAATACCTTCGATACCAATGTGTTCTATGATCATGATATTTTTTGTGTGTGTTTTGATGTTGTGTATTTGGACTATTATCCCAAAGGTCGCGGGTTCGATTCCCACCGTGGTCAGGCTAACTTTTCAGCCTGCCCGGTGTGGATATACACTCAGAGTAACATCAAAAACATTATATTCACCTGAGTACATAACATCAAGACACACACAAAAAATATCATGATCATAGAACACATTGGTACTAAAGGTACTAGACTTAGTTCCGAAATACCACACACTCGAACAGACTTGGCCGCGTAGCTCAGTTGGCAGAGCATTGGACTAGTATTCCAAAGGTCGCGGGTTCGATTCCCACCGTGGTCAGGCTAACTTTTCAGCCTGCCCGGTGTGGATATACACTCAGAGTAACATCGATATTGTAACATCAAAAACATCATTACGATTATTAGAATGGTTTGATGAATTTAGCATTTTTAAGCCAGCAATTTCATAGCCACATTTGACGCTTCAATTAGTTCACTCTTTTTGTTAAGATTGTCAATAATATTATTAATTCATTTACTTCAGAATTTCGTCCTCTGACTAGGATAGCAATGTTTGCTTCAAGTCTTCTATGCTTTTTCCGTTCATCCAAGTCATGCTTTGTCATTCTCGTTTTCAGTATTAACTGAGGATGTTTCGGATCCGATATATTTTTGCACTACGACCATGTCCAACTTAAGCCCTTTAACTTCAGCGGCCAAAAATCTGCAATTACAATCGCAATTCACCCCATTATAATCGTATGTTTGGGAAGCACAGTCTTTAACTAACTGATACTAGACTCACTTTGCATCTCAGCACGACCATGGTCGTCGACGTCTGTGGCTCGGACATTTGTGAACTGAGCTAGCAAAACATTTGCAATGCCGGTATAAAGTTGTTGTCTGATCTCTTGGCTGTTATCACCTTGAATCCTCAGGACTTTCTTTCCCTTGTACCATTTGATTAAGATGGTTTCACACGAGAATTGCTTTACGTCTCCGCCTGGTGAAGTCCACTTCCCAGTTAAATTTAGTTCGTCTTTTACAAACTCTTTCAGGGCAATCAAGTCGCCCCCCCCCCCATTTAAACTCTGAGTTTTCGACAAACTAATCTAGAAATTGGCAGACATCATTAATACCCGGGATTATAACGTCGTGGTCTTTAGTACGTTAAAACACACTGTTTGAGCTGAACACGATTGAATGTAAACGTTTTATATCTAAATTGAACTAATGCATGTACAGCTAACATTGGCTGCGGTATGCTGCCTACCATCCAAATCGAGACTTAATATTTTGTCATACTGGGCAAAGATGAATCCATGTGGATACAATTTTTTTTCACCAAGCGAAATACAAGGGAACATATTTCGCTCCATTTACTGTTCGGAGTACTCCGGATTTTCGGACCACTTTCAGAGTAACATCACAAGCATCATATTCACCTGAGTACATTACACCAACACAGAAAAATCATGATTATTATTAGATAACATTGATATCGAAGCAACCGGATTCTGTTCCGAAATATCACATACTCGAACCGACCAGACCGCGTAGCTCAGTTGGCAGAGCATTGGGCTAGTATTCCAAAGGTCGTAGGTTTGATTCCCACCGTGGTCAGGCATATTTTTCAAGCTTGCCCGGTGTGGATATACACTCAGAGTAACATCACAAGCATCATCAATACGATTTATTATGATACTAACTAATGAATATAGTAATGCTGCTGCCATGGTTGCACGCATATATAATAAACTAAACACTGTTCAAGAACACAGTGTGTACTCCATTTCATATCGTTCCAGAACAGTGTTCCAAATGTTCTAGAACAGTAAATGGACCAGCCTCCATGCATGCGATCACGACTCAAGAATCAAGATATATAATTTCTCAAATTCTGGATGTCAATCACGAAAACTCTCTGAAATATAAAGCCAAGTAAGATTAAGTTAAGTTGAATGCGGCTTAAGGGACGTATACCTCTCACTCACACTTTACTCACAATCTGAGCTTCACTTGAGTGTGAATGGTGTCTTTGAATAGTTGGAGTGAGAATGTCGCATTATACTACAGTATGTGACTGTGAGTGGACACTCATTGTGGCGAGTTGCACCCATTGAGAATGAGCGTCCACTCATTTGAGTGAGCTTTTAGAATACAGGTTTAAGTCTCTTTTCGGCACAGCAAAAATATCCGTGAAACCAAAGTTCATAGCTCGCTACCACAGCAGTCGTCTTCACAGAATGGCACGTTTCCTTGTCGGGTGCCCAATGTAAAACCTGTGAGTTCATAGATTCTGCTACCACCATTTCGGCACCAAAATCTCAATACCATGTTAATTAAGCAGCGTTTCATGTGCACCTCCTCCCATCTCATCTACTGCATACTTTATATTGGGGAAACTGGAAGATCTTTGAGGACAAGGTTTGATGAGCATCAGCGTGCAGTCATTCGCAACGATGCTAACCAGCCTGTTTCCAGACATTTTAATAATGGCAATCACAGTGTTTCAAATATGAAAATTCGAGCACTCTGTGCCACATTTCTGAAGAAATGATAGCTACAAAAGACGTGTAATGCGCCTAATTTCCAAACTTGACACTGTCCGCCCCAATGGCCAGGGGCGCCGGAAGGACTGGAAAGCGGCGGGGGCAGAATCTTGAAAAAGGCACTTTTCGCGCCACAATATTTTGGTAGCTGATGATGTCTGACAGTTTGCAGCCAAATATTTCTATATATTGTACACCACTAGGCAGTTTTTTATAGATTATGAATAAATTGAGTAGATTCAGTAACAACATAAGACGTCCAGTTCGTGTATTAACAAGATCAAATTCATATAATATTCGGCATATTGTAATTATGTAATACTATGTATCTGTTGTTTAATACCAGTAAAGCCGGAATCCGAGCCTTTCCGAGGTTGAATCTATCAAGCACTGAACTGTCCAAAGCAACACCGCGGAAAAACGTCTGCGCATGCGTCAACCTTACCTGTAATAGTATTGCGAACTTGATGAGAAGCTGTTTCGAACGTTTCCGAAGGCTCAAAATGGCGGTAAAAAGGAGTGACTTCATTGTGCGTCTTTACAGCCAGATTTCGAGCGCAAAAATAAACATGTCATTCTAAAAACTAGGAATAAATACAGCCAGAAGGTTCAAGAAATTGTATTGTACAAGAACATGAACTACAACCTCGTTCCCAGGGTCTCTCCTTCTGTCATCTGGGAGAGACCCTGGCTGCGGCTGGTCCATAGAAATAATAGACATAGAATGCGTGCTCCTATCTCTTCTCAGTAAAAATTTTGTCTCCACAAAATGGCGGATTTATAAGGGCATTTTGGCTAGTCCCAGACTCCTGTGGCGTGGAATTTCGCGCGGTGCCGGGAGTGCCGGAATTGTTTTTTTTCAACAAAGTTTGCAAAAACAATTCTATCCAGACTTGAAGTGGAAAAAAAGTGTTTTTAATGGAGAAAAACCCATTCCCGTGGGTTTTTTTACGAAGAGCAATAGTTCTGAACAGAATATATAGAGAAATCGTCGTTTCAAAATACATTTTCAACGTTGTTGTGCAAGCCAAAACAAAACACGAAAAATCAAGACAAACTGAAACTCAATAGGTATCAATCTCGTTCCCCGAGCCTGCGATCCTCGGGAAGGAACGCGAGGCTCTGGGATAATCCGTTTCAGGGAGGAATCTGATTGGCCATTGAAATGGAATGCGTAGTTCAATCTTAGCCAGGATTCTTGGCTTCCGGTAACGGATTATCCCAGAGCCTTCGATTCCTTCCCGAGGATCGCAGGCTCGGGGAACGAGATTGAATAGGTATGTTTTAAAAAATATATTTCAACTGTTTTATAATATAAATAGAGTTCAATAATCTTTTTAAACTTACACAACTACTTTTTATACTTTTTTATACGTTGCTTGATTTAGGCGATTTACAGTTTTAAATATCAACAACTAAATATTTTTGTTTCAAAAACATCAGAAAACACTTCGTTTAGATTGAAGAAAAACAAAACCCGACGATGATATGAATGAACTATCATCTCGTAATTTTATAAAGTATTAGCAAAACAGTTACGTTCAGAGCTTGCAAAAATGTTTTATGAGTAAGTTATATTTTATACGCGAAACTACACGAAAAAACTACTTGTTTTTTATACAAGGCTGCACGATTTTCACCGTTTTTGTAACGGCACATTTGCTTTGAGCCTTTAAAGAACTTAATATTTCAAATTCTATCCCCAAACTACAAATACCAAACGTTTTGACGATGAAAACTTTATAGTTTTAGTTTTGTTTATACTTTGTAGTTTGCACTCCTACTCAAATTCAACATGGCGGATTTATAAGGGCATTTTTGTTTTCAGTTTGGACACCGGTCACGTGACCAAGCACGCATTCTAGGTCTAATATTTCTATGGGCTGGTCACGTGCCTCCCAGATTCTATTTCCTTGTTATGCTACGTCACAAGGAAATCACATGAGATTGCGTAACAATTACCCAACATTCAGTGCGTACCTAATTCGGCGTTCAGTGAGGGTACAGAAAATTCTGTGCCCAAAAATTATTGAAAAATATTTAAAATTTTAATTGAATTCGTCACAAAAGAACGCTTAAAAGCGAAACCGACCGTTCCGGAGCAATTTGAACCAATAATTTGGTGGTTTTGCTCGAGGATTCAGTGCGATATACCAGGAATCGTCCACGGACTCAACATGGCCGACTCCGAGGGCGAAATCGAAGATGATGCACGATTGCTCGAAGGCGATGAGGCCACACATGCACAAGAAAGTTCTTCTGGCGATCGGCACGAGAGTCAAACCAATATGGAGGAGAAGTTCGAGGAGCTATCGGGCAACATTAAAGATGGTTTTTCTTCGCTTGGCGAATTGTTGACAGATCTGATGCAACAAAAATCACGAGGCAAGCGCTCCCGCCAAAAATCAAGGTCTTCCTCGCCGGCCTCGGCTGACGGCGACCAAACAACCAGCCCTAAACGGGCAAGGCTCGAGGATGAACAGAACGACGACGTAGCTGTGTTGCTTGGCGAGTCCCAGCCCCAGGGGGAAAACTCGGGCAATGACAATGAAAAAGAGTTTGGCGCAATTTTGGACAGTGTTGTCCAAGAGCTGGACGAAGAACAGTTGGGGCCTGCTGTGTCCGAGAAGCTTGCCGAAGTTATTAATAAAACTCTGCGCTCAAAATTAAGCGAGGAAAAACTTAAAGAAAAGCAAAACGCTTACCCTAGACCACAAAATTGTGAATCACTAGAAACTACTCGGGTTAATCCAGAAATCTGGGCACAACTACAATCTTCAACCAGATCTCGGGACATACGTCTCCAGAAAGTACAAAGCCTCTTGCTGAAAGGGCTACTGCCATTAGTTCAGCTCCTTGAAAATTGTCGACAATCGGATGATAGGTCGACTGATAAAGGAAAAATCATCAAGCTGGCTCTTGACTCAGTAAGCCTAGTCGCTCAGGCAAATGTAGAGCTCAATAGCCGGCGACGAGCATTGATTAAGCCTGATTTGAATGAAAAATTTCAGCAAATCTGTGGCGATCATGTGCCGATTACAACATTGCTTTTTGGGGATGATGTGGCCAAGACACTACAGGACATTGCTTCCACAAATCGTGTCAGCCAAAAGGTTGCAACACCTACTTGTTGGCCCAGCTATGCTCACCAAAACATCTTTAATTGGCATTCAAAAAATGGAGGGGGGAGGTTCAGGCCCCAAAACAACCTCCCACGTCACAAAAGGGGCCAGAGCCACTACAGACCACAGAGTCAGTGAAACTCGATAAACAGGTTAGTACCATATATTCATTTAATGATGATACTATACCACCCTTCACAGCTGGTGGGCTAAAACATTTTCAGACTGCTTGGTCAAAAATTTACTTCAGACCAATGGATATTAAAAGCAATACAGGGAGTGGAAATTGAGTTTCTAATGAAACCATTCCAATTGCAGTGAGCTAACTGTCAGTAGTTCTGAGGAGTGCATTGTTGATAATGAAATCACCAAGTTAATGAAAGCGGTAATTGAGCCTACTAACCCAGGATCAGGGGAGTTTATTTCTACCATTTTTATTCGCCCGAAAAAAGATGGGACCTTTAGAGTAATTTTGAATTTGAAAAGGTTAAATGAATTTGTTTGATACCATCACATTAAGATGGACACTATTTATACTGCAATACATTTGATGAAACAGGGCTGCTTCATGGCCTCTATTGATTTGCAGGATGCATACTATACTGTACCAGTATACCCTAATCACAGGAAGTATTTAAAATTCTCTTGGCGAGGACAATTGTATCATTATACTGACATTATACATGCCTGCCAAATAGTCTAGCCTCAGCCCCACGTATTTGTACAAAAATCTTGAATCCAGTCTATGCATCGGGCACATCTCCTTCGGGTATATTGATGACTCGTACTCGCAGGATGACAACTTTGATGGTTGTAAGACAAATGTCCAGGACACAACCACAATGTTTGATTCATTGGGGTTTTTTCCCCATCAGACCAAGTCAGTAACCATTCCTGTCCAACAACAGGACATGACGGTCTCTTTAACCTCTAAAAGAGCCACAAAGCTTCAAACTGCTTGCATAAATTGGTTAGCAAAGAGGAGACCTTTAATTCAGGAGGGTGCACATGTTATTGGCCTTATGGTGGCTAGTTTCCCCGCCGTGACCTTTGCACAGCTATTCTATGGGGCTTTTGCTAATTTACAGTGGTGGATATCCAATATTGAGACATCCTCCAAACCTGTTCTGGCCAGCCAGCCAGATATGGTATCGCCAATATGTCTCTTGACAGCCAGATCCTAAGGCAGTAGCAGTTGATGCTTTCAGCATGAACTGGGCTACTAAAAGCTTTTACGCTTTTCCTCCCTTTAGCCTGTTAACAGATGTTTGGCAAAAGATCCAGGAGGAATCAGCAGAGGGTATACTGATAATACCCCTGTGGCCTACACAACCGTGGTACCCTGTGGCAATGCAAATGTTGGTCAACCACCCACAGATTTTGCCCAAAATGCAACGTCTTCTTTACTTACATCAAATCATGGCGAAGCGGAACTGTCCAGCAGTACCAAGTTACTTACCATGCGGCAGCATCCCCTGGTTTGCAGATTCTTCGTGGTGTTTGCTATAACACTATACATGGGATGTTAACCTAGTGTTGACTTACCTCAAGACATTATACCCTCTTGAGAAAATCATGCTTAAAGAACATGCTCATAAACTTGTTATGTTAATAGCATTGCTATCTGGTCAAAGAACACAAACAATAACACTAATGGACATTACGAATATACAGTTTACCGATGCTGGTTGTCTTATATATATTACATCTACTTCGGCAGCTAAGACAGCGGGAGTTTCTATAGATGAGATACTCAGTAGTGCAGGACGGTCTAATTGTGCAACTTTTCAGACATTCTATAACAAACCTGTTGAAAATGGGGCAAGTTTTGCTGAAGCAGGTCTAAAGACAGTTATTTAAAAAAGTTTCACAGTACATTTACATTATTTTTGTTCTGAGCTATTGCCTATGTTAAGGCTTGTATAGTTTATGTTATCAGCATTTACATTGTTATTTATTATGACGTCATATTTCCGCCAAAATTCAAGTTTTCTATTTGTGATCCTAGTTTGTGTATTTTCTTCAATTCTTAATACAACATTCAACTTTTCACAATTGAACATTCAACTTTTCACACAATTGAACATTCAACTTTTCACACAATTCAACATTCAACTTTTTTACGCAATTCAACATTCAACTTTTCACAATTGAACATTCAACTTTTCACACAATTCAACATTCCACTTTTACGTAATTCAACATTCAACTTTTTACGCAATTCAACATTCAACTTTTTACGCAATTCAACATTCAACTTTTCACACAATTGAACATTCAACTTTTCACACAATTGAACATTCAACTTTTCACACAATTGAACATTCAACTTTTCACACAATTGAACATTCAACTTTTCACACAATTGAACATTCAACTTTTCACACAATTGAACATTCAACTTTTCACACAATTCAACATTCAACTTTTTTACGCAATTCAACATTCAACTGTTCACAATTGAACATTCAACTTTTCACACAATTCAACATTCAACTTTTTTACGCAGTTCAACATTCAACTTTTCACAAAATTAAACATTCAACTTTTTACGCAATTCAACATTCAACTTTTTACGCAATTCAACATTCAACTTTTACGTAATTCAACATTCAACTTTTTACGCAATTCAAGCAATTCAACATTCAACTTTTTTGAACATCCAACCGCAATCCAATTTAAACGACGTAACGCCGGCTCACATGTGGCTCAATCACGAGGTGTAAAATATGGCGGATTTAAGCGAAGTGAAAGAGACACTAGGCAAGTTAGCAAATAGAATTTCCGACTTGCAACAGTCAAGTGAGGCATCTAACAATTCAGGTAAGTGTAATATTGATTGTATTGGTTTATTAATATTCCTCTAAAAGTACTGTACTACACTTGAGTGACCTCTACTATTTTGTCAACATAAAATTTTAAATTTAGCTACATAAAATTTGCGGCGCTAGGGTAGAGTGTCGTTTGTATAATCGTATGTTTTTAGGATAAATTGATTCGAACAAAATAAAAAGCAGCGAATAAGTGAATGGAAGGTGTTTTTGTACACGTTTAATCCACAATTTGATCGAAATATATTAGAAAGTGTATACAGGTGAATATGATGCTTGTGATGTTACTCTGAGTGTATATCAACACCGGACAAGCTTGAAAAATATGCCTGACCACGGTGGGAATCGAACCTACGACCTTTGGAATACTAGCCCAATGCTCTGCCAACTGAGCTACGCGGTC